TAATTATTGACTAATATTAATTAAACAATATGATTTCTCCTTTAATATATTATTCTCATAATATATTAATTCATAATTAATCCTCTCTCTCTCCATAATTCATCCTATCAAGTTGCTTTGGTGAAGGCAACCCAAAAGGACCATGCACCATCGGGTCAAGTACATACCAAAATAGTTATGGACTTAGACACTAATCCAACATTTACAACTTCAGATCATGCCAAATACCGGAAATGACCCAAAAATGTGTATAAAAATGGCCTTAACCCATGAATAAGGAGATCTATCACTAGAATGATCAAGGTAACAACTTGTTACCTTTAAATGGAAGCCAAAACGATGTAGATGCTGGATCCACAAGCTGCTTCCCGTTCCAAGCTTCTCAACCTTCAAGCTTCTTCAAAAAATGCACCAAAGACACTCTTTTAGCCTCACAAACACAAGGGAGCAGTAAGGAACGGCTAGGGTTTCCTTCTATGAGTAATGGGGTGATAAGGGAGACCAAAGGATGCGGGTTACGTACTTTAAATAGAGTGCAAACCCTAAAAATTAGGGTTTTCTCATTCAGCTCCTACTCGTCGAGTTGGGGTCCTCTAACTCGTTGAGTAGACCTGATAAATCACGCGGGTTGGCTACTCTCTACACGATGAGTTGGGGCCTCAAACTCGTCGAGTAGGCTTCCTTATTTGCAATAAAACCCCTACAATCACACTCCTGGAAATCGGGATGGTACAACTTCGATATTCTGTATGATCTACTAACCTCTGTATCGTCCTTTTTCCTCTTTATAGTAGGTCTCCCTGGCATCTTCCTTTTCAATGGTGGAAATGATGCTATGTAGTCTGTTGGGGGCCACATTGCACTCCCATTCATACTTCCTATTGAGTACTTGTAGGTGTTCATGTATATGGCAACACAATATAAAGGATCAACAAATGCCTCAACATTTCTGTTTACATAAGAAATGGACGCCACTAAATGAACACAATCATGCCCATTTAGTTGCCATACCCTATAAGTGCATGTTTTCTTTTCCAAATCAACACCTTATGACTCTCCTAAGTTTCTTGTTTAAAAGGTATTCAGTCCACTAGGAAGCACTTGTCAATACATACGCATAAACACAGTTGCTATTAGATACTATGGTTGAAAAGGAGTGACAAAGAAGAACAAATCTTTGTTGGATCTTTAATTCATTTATGGCAAGCCTTATGTTTATACATACATCAAAACATCCCCATCCACGACCTTTCTGTCTCAAACTACACATCCTCTGCATCACATATAGTCTGCTATCCTCCAACATAGTAATAATTGGTTTCTTCCTAGCATCCAAGATAACATTGTTAAAGCTTTCAGACAACCCATTCTCAACAACATCACACCCCTTCCTGTTTGAAAGAATGTTCTAGACCATGACGGTAGGTTCATTCCCATAAGATGCACATATGTAGTAGGGCTAATCATTTGAATCTATTTCATTGCAGTATTGAAAAGAGGTTCAGTTGATGCCTTACAATCCTTCCAAAACAATGCCTCATATTGAGCACCAGGAAATTTCTTCTTGAAGTTGGACAGGACATGCTTTCCACATTGCCTATGTTCTATGTCTGGGAATAAATCCTCCACTGCTTCAATTAACCCCTACAGTTACATCATAAGGACATTTACAACTAGATTATAAATGAAACACCTAAAGCATAACATAATGAACACAAACATACCTTATGTTGATCTGACATCAATGTCCTACCATGCCTAGAGTTAAGATGCAAATCTTCTTGTATATGTTCTAGAAACCATTTCTAAATGTCTTTATTTTCCACACAAACCATATCCCAACCTATTGGGTAGATATGATTGTTTCCATGCCCCCCAATAGCACATAATAATTGACCAGTACACATTCCTTTAAAAAAAAACACCCATCCAAGTTTTTAATCCCTCTATATCCACTTTTCCAACCATGCTTTAGTGCATTAAAACAAATATATATACTGCTAAAGTAAGTTTTCCCATCTGGCATAGAGTTCACAGACAACTTGACTGTTGACCATGGATTATACCTTCTTATCTCCTCACCATAGGAACATAACTTTGCATAATTTTCCACTATAGTACCTTCAACAAGAGACACTGCATGTTGCTTAGCTCTCCTACACTATCCCATAACCTATATGCCAACTTTAGTCTTTACTTCCTCTTTTAGCATCCTAACATTAAGTTTCTCATTCTCAAGGACTTCCCTGGTGAAATGACTACCAATCCATCTATAATTACCAATTGAACCTAACTTAAAATTCGTGGCACGATTATGCTCATTGATAAGGGACTTGATTTGGAATGAGTGCTCCTTACTCACCGATGAATCCCAAAGCCTAAATGTGCATTCACCATCACAAAACTTAACCAATAACCTTTTACTGTCATCTTTTCATAGTATAGTTGATACCTATTGGCTACAACATAATTACAAAACATGAATTTCAATTGTTTAGGGTTGGTGAACCTCATAGCTAGAATTGACAACTGCTTCTTCCAAGGCATGTCTTCATTAAACACTGGGTTGCCTTTCACATCTAGGACATTTTCATCTTCATCATCTTTTGGATTTTCACCTTCTGTGGCATCCTCATTTTCATTTGCCCGACTTACTCCTTCATAGGTTACTCCTTCTATGTTGCTCTGTTATGGACTCATGAACTTAGTTAGGTCAAATATCATTTTTTGTTTCGATTGGCGTGTTTGACATAACAAAACAATTGTCCTCAATTTCATTTTCCTTAGTTACGTGCAGAGTAGTACCAAAATGGTCCATGTAAACGGCCAGTTGTACTCCATACCGATAAGCAATGTCTATAAACTCTTGATATTGAAGGTCATTAGAAATCAAGGTTAAACCTTCTAGGATTTCTAAATCAGGTTGACAATAATAAAGCTTCTCACACTTCTCTTGTGTGAATCTTTCAAGAAAACCCACAAATTCAGTATAAGACATACCAGCAAAATCGATATTCTCGAACACATGATGAATACCATCAGGGTAGCAAAAAAGTTTGTTGATTAACATACCTTGGAAATGAACTTTGATTAAGATGAATATAGCCATCGACACTCGACAAGAACTTTGGTGGGAGGTAAGGTTTTTTCGTGAATGAAGACGACGAGAGTGAAGAACGACAAATGAAATAGCCTTATTTTAAACAATTCAAACAAAAGGGAAGTACACATGGCCATTTCATTAAAAGACATGGTACCAATATTTCTTCAGTGACACGTATATTACATTTGAACCTAGTATCAGGTCCCACAAGGATATTTTAAAACAGGAAAATGTAAGTTCATTCCCTTAAAGTACAAAAAAAAAATTGGGTGACCTTTTAAAACAAACGTGACAAGTTTGATGGGTTAATATGACATTTTCCATTGGGAATTTCATATCAACTATGTCTCCATTATTGTCTTCTATCTTCGGTCCTTATGGTTGTAGGGATTACTTCTTGTATCAACATAGAGCAACATATGTCGTTACGACCACCATGACCATGGTTAGAGGCGGTGGAGTTGATGTCGACAACAAGTAGTGGCATAGACTTGATGGCGACGATCATGGTTTTGTTGTGAATTGTCATAAGCTCCAAATGAGAGGAATTAGAAGCGGTCGTTCATTTTGTTGGTGTGTTTCTTTGAGAATCGACTTTGATTGGGGCTCATACAAGGGTGGTAGCGGGTTTATTATTGGATCAAGGTGGTGACACCATCATAATGTTCATTTAATCCAAAAATGAGGTTGAGAACCACAAATGAGTGGTATCTTATTTATAAAACTATGTACCTATGAATGTCAAACCAAATGTAAACCACTTACCTAAAAATAAGTTAACCCTTAACCAACAAATGAATGTATCTAATTTGCATAAGAGATGCGTATTAGATGGCTTACACATTAATTCCACAATTATGTATTAGATTATCTCATACACGTGGATGCCAAATTATTATTACCCATAATACCTATAATTTTTAAGCAGTTATAATAAAGTTCAATGATAAATCACGTATAAAAATAATTTAATTGTTAAATGTATACATTAAACATACTAATATATTACTATTTCAAGTCATTACTCATATCCCCGTACTTAATATTTAATATTTCAAGTCATTACTCATATCCCCGTACTTAACATTTAATATATTTCTTTTTCAAATAAGTAAAATAACAAGCATAAACTATAATATCCAAACATATTTATAGTTTTTGATCAGCTACAAAGAGTCTTTAATATATTTCTTTTTCAAATAAGTAAAAGTAACAAGCATAAACTATAATATCCAATCATATTTATAGTTTTTGATCAGCTACAAAGAGGCTACAAAGAGTTTAATGATAAATTATATAAAAGAATATTTAATAACTAAATATCTACACCCTATATTACTCTATAAAGTCAATAACTCTTTAAAGAGTTTTTCATGATCTTCGAGAAAAGGCCTTAATAATATATAAGTATTTTCTTTACATTTTACAAATAGAATGTTTCTAGGACAATGAAAGAGCATCTTTCTTTGTCATTACACAAAGAAACATCGAAAAGAAAAGTTATATTTGTAAATAATCAATCAAGATCCCACTTTCAAAACTTGTTATGAATGCAGTAGTAATATAACCGAATTCATAAACAAAAAACATATGGAAACTATTTCAAGAGTAACCAAATTCATCACAATTCTACCTAAACAAACCCTTACCAACAACTTTACCAAAAACAAAAACCTTTTTTTTCTTCCAATAAATCATTGTTTTTTAGACTCTACAAATCACCACAAAGCAAGGTAAAAGAGCTTTAGGGCTAAGCAAATAAAGATCCTCGATATTCGAATGAACCCCAACTTTCCCAGCCAACGAATCAAACCCCGATTGCCCTGAAATCTCTTGAATGTTCTCTAGTGGCCTATGAACCCTCCCTGCAATCACCCTACACACCATTAAAGCTTTTCGTGTATCTAAACTATCATCGCAAACTTCTATCGATTCAAAAGCTCTAACACTAGTCGAAGTTGTGAAAACCCCAATACCACCCTTGAGTTCCTTAGGTGTTGAAAACCCATTTCTTATAATCCGACAAACACAACATTTATCGGAGATACAAAGGCTAGAATGGCCGTTGATTCCAAGAGAACAGGAGATTGTAGTGCCATAAAACCTTAAAAGTTCATTCCCATCTGCTAAACAACGTGGGTGTTTCTTTGGTAGTTTGCTAGCTTTCGTTTTCACTAACTCTCGATAGTCTTCGAATCTAGATAGTGTTTTTTGCATGTTGTGGACTTTTAGAACCTTCTCGATTCGACCCGAAGTGTTCTCGGACTTTAACCAGCTCGATCGACAGATGATTTCCACGATCTTTCTAGAAGAATCACCCTCCATAAGTTCAGTCACTAGCAAAAACAGAAAAAAAGAACAAGAATCTACATTAAAAATCTCTACTTTTTTCATGATTCAGACAAAATTATCGATTCAAGAACATAAAGATTGAATCTTGATAGATTTTAATGAATTATTATTTACCTGCGTGTTTTGAGAGATGATGGGCTTCAAGATTTTCCCACTTCCCAAACTGTTTACCACACTTATGGCACGTGACTGCGCCAGAAGACCCATAAGATTCTGTTTCCATAGAAGGTCTAGGTTTTTGTGGGATTCCAATTCCATTCTTTCCTGTTGAGTTACCGGAATTCGCGATTCCATTCCCGTCTGATGATGAAACCGTTCTTCTTGTAGGTGTTTGATGATTCTTGAAAGTATGCATTGTTGGGTGACCACCAGGACCAGGTGTACCCGGCATCAATGTACCCACGAAAGTAGACCCATCGGCGCCGGCGGCGGCGGCGCCACCGCTAACATCGTGAAACCCGCCACCGAAGCCGGTGATTTTAAGCTCACATCTTGAATCGTTGAGAATAACTTCATGGGTAATTGGGTTTAGAAACTCGCTGCTTCCGATAGATCTAGGACTACAACTCACTGGCTTTTCTGAATGCCTCTTACTGCCGCCATTGATGACATCTTTGAGATTTGCGATGGACCTTGAACAACCCGACCGACCTGGTTTTCGGGTCAAGATTGTTGCTAGTTGTTTCTTGGATTTCGGGTCATGGACCTCCGATGGCTCCGATTTGCAGTGGAGAGATTTCTTCAAGGAAAACCAAACTGTTGGCATATCTTCTTATTCTTCTTCAAGCTTCCCCCCTTTCTGAACTTTTTAAAAGCAAAAACTTTTTGTACCCATTTCCAAAAAGCTGAAAACTTTTGATAAAATAAAAAATCAAGAAAATGAAATTAAGAGGTTTGAAGTGGAAGAAGGAGAAGTTGAGTGGCATCAATAAATGACAAGTAATTATGTTCAAATGAAAATAAAGATTTCCTGACAGCTATGAAATAGAAGAGAAAGGCATTCACGAGCGACCTAAAAATTAAATGAAACATTTTAATTTTCAAAATTAATGGAATATTTTTAGGAAATAAAGTATTCAGAAATACAGAAACTGGAATTTGATCTATTAATGTAGTCATATAGATATGATATGTACCAGTGTGAGTTAATTGTCACATGCTTTTTGGCTTTTTTTTAGTCTAAATAGTGGTTCATTTTTCCCTTTTTTTTCAACATAGATATGTCATATTATCTAAAAAAAAAATTAATTTTGTATTTAATGTTTAAAATAAATTTTAAAACGCCAAGAATTTATGAAATGGAAACCGATAACCATGATGCATGTGTATAGAAGAAAACGTGATGATTCTGATGCTTTTTAGTTCGGTGGTTTAATGTATTTTTAATGATAAGTCGAAAAAAAAATAAAAAATATCGAAATACGTGTACTAAACATTAGTAAACAATTGTATTTGGTATTTCCTTATATATTAAATCAAAAGATATATTGGTCTTATAATACGGAAGATGTAAGGTTCATACTTGAACTATTTTGTAAGTGTAATTATTTATTTATTTTGTAAAGTTGTATTAATAGTGTATGTTGTTTTAGAACAAACAAAAGGAATCAAAAATTTAATACCCTATGAGATTTATAAAATAAAAATAAAAATAGAAAATGACATCTTCTAAATGGTTAACGTCAATATATCTCAAACATCACGTGGACGGTCAATTGTAGAATACGAACAATATTTTGGACATATCAAAGTTTGAATCATAGACCTTCTATGTAGAATTTCACTCGTTAACTGTTAAACTTCATTCTTAGAAACAAAATATATAAAATAAAAACTAGAAACATAAATAAATGAAAAAGTTGTTAAAAGAAAAGATATAAACTTGTAACATTCAATTAGATAATAAATGTAATTTTGGAAAGATTGAAAAGACATGATCTCTTTTAGTTTTGTTTTACATATAAATATAGGAAGATTTTTATAACATAAAACTGTTAAAACACTTGTGTCGTACTTGTTAGGCCACAAGTTAAATGAGGAGTCGTTGTACCAAAACGATGATTAATTAATTATATGTTAACACTAATCACTAATCTATCAAAGTTTTGCACATGTTACCCATTGAATGTGTTTTAACCCAAACGTAATTAGGTTATAGTTTTCAAGGGTTCATTCCTACTTTTTGAAGTTTGTTGAGTCATTCACCTCTTTCTTCGTATTATGCATTAACGATATATAATTATGGGAAATGTATTTGTACACAACAGTTTTTATCCATACACAATAATTTATGTTTAATTGAGTTGTACAATACAACACTTTAAAACACAAATTGTTGTGTATGGAAAAATTTTGTTGTGTACAAATCACCTCTCTATAATTATCAAACTTTGATCAAATAATTAAAAGACAAAATTACACCATCGGTTTCTATTGGTTGCGACAATTAGCATGTTAAAGACAAAACATCAAAACTCATTTTATGGTTTGGTATCCTTTAAATATTATTTAATTAGGCCGTGTTTGACTAATTTTATTTAGGTAGCTTATTAATTTATTAGCGGTTTCACGTCGCTATAAGCTAAAAGAAATTGTTTGAATAAAAATAGTTTATAACGGTGGCAAATCACTAATGTAACATCCCAAAAATTCATAAAAAAATTTCATTTTAAAACATAAAGTCATACAAACACTTATTCTCATTAGAGTATAAGTCACAAATAACCAATGCGGAAAACTCTAGAGGATGTTGTGCAGTCACGTCGGGCTCTTCCCTTTAGAACCAGAATTACCTGAAACCATAAACATAAAACCGTAAGCACGAAGCTTAATGAGTTTTCCAAAAATACTGCATACCATTCATATATATTAGCACAACACAATAACAGGTCTATTTCGCCCATGAGTCTATTTCACCCCCAATTCCCTTCCGACTCAATCAGTATTTTCCAAATGAATGGGTCAATTTCACCCCCCCGGGTCTATTTCACCGTCGAGTCCCTTCCGACTCAATTGGTGTTTTCCAACCGAACGGGTCTATTTCACCCCCGGGTCTATTTTACCTCCCGACTCCCTTCTAACTCAATCAGTATTTTTCAACCGAACGGGTCTATTTCACCCCTACAACTAAGCAAGCAGTCATGTCGACAAGAGTCACAAAGACAACAAGCACATACACGCATTTCAGCAAGTATCACAAAGACAACTATCAACCTACAAACATAATCCAGTGGGTCGGTATTGGTGTCTTCGACCTACGAGTATAATGAAGAGACTCACCTCAATCCGAAGATAGCCAAATCTCACACACACGATGCTGCTACGAAGGTTCCTCACACTGAACATCAAATCAACCCTAATAAAGAATTAGGGTAATAATCATAATCAAGGGTCCAAAACACACACACTCTCTCTCTTTCTCCCTCTCTCTCTCTTTCTCCCTCTCTCTCTCTCTCTCTCTCTCTTTACGGTAAAAGACCATTCTACCCCTTCCAAGCTAGCCCCAACCAAACATGGCCCAAGCCCTTAAAAATTACTCATTTCCCTTTCTGGGAGTACGCCATTTGTACTCCTTCCTTACGCCCTGCGTACCGAAATTCCACAGAAAACAAACGAGGTAAAACCGTTACGCGCTGCATACTCAGTGGTTATGCCCTATGTACTCAAGCAGCTTCCAAAATCCAATTTGAGTCCTTAATACCTTAATACCACATGTCTAACTCTCAGATCGGCACCTAATGGATATCTAAAGTCATAAAGTTCCTGACTTTATGACTTTGCATGGCTTAATGGAGTCCAAAACCAAACCCAGGTTCCTTAACATTCTCTAATGACTCCAAACCCTTGCATGGGTGAAAAGAAACCATCAAGATCCCATTTTTATGACTTTGAATCCCCATAAATGACAAGATATGACAATCACAAGCTCTGGAGTAGCTTTTACTCGCAAGAACCAAAACTATGGGGCCAAAAGCATGAAAACTCTAAGGTAACCTAAATCTAAACCAAGGAATCATAAAGGTTCAAGCTTTATACCTTACGAGGCTTGCAAATGGGATGGAAGTTCTGGATCTTCAAGCTCCAATCTCACCAATTGTCACACCCCCAAACCAAGGATGGCGGAAACGTCCGGGGGTGGAGGACTTCATGTATAGTATC